TTAAGACCAAATTCATCAGTTAAGACAATGACTGCATATTTGACTATTCATTGCACAACAAGAATAAGAGGAATGAAGATACCTTATACAGTGTGGTTCTCCAAATCCAAAACTACACTCCATTCAATTGCTGAATTACTGAAGAACAAGACATTTGATAATTGGACGAATGATGATGCAAAGCAAATGGAAAAATTGAAGAAGAACATTTTAACACAATCTTATTACAACATCACCATCACAACAGATGCAGCAAGTTCGACTCATATTGATCTGGATGAATTGAATATTTCAGAAAAACCAATAGCAGAAGGAGCAATGGGTCGGGTGTATATCGGGTATTACAGGAGTGTCCCTGTCGCTGTAAAACAGTTTAGATGGGAGAATTTGGATGAAGAGGAGATGAAAGAGTTAAAGAAGAATGTTATTCAAGAGTGTGAGATTATGAGTAAATTGAGGAATCCGTTTATTGCGAATTACATGGGGTCGGTGACATATATCCAACAAGTATCTATGGTGATTCAGTTCTTTGTCCTTGGATCATTGGGAGAGTATTTACGTAAAGAAAAGGAGGATTATGTAGTTCTACCATACAAGTTGAAGGTACGAATGTTATTTGATACCGCAAGAGGTATGCAATTTTTACATGAGAATCGAATTATGCATCTTGACTTAAAGCCTGAGAATATGTTAGTCAATTCATTCGACTTTAACAGCGCCTGCACTATCAAAATCACAGACTTTGGGACGTCAAGATTCACTAAGAAAACGTTGAAGAAAAATAATGAAGACAAAGGTCTTGGTACACCTATTTATGCTGCACCTGAGACTTTTACAGATGAATATACATTTGCAGGTGATGTCTATTCATTTGCTATAACTGCTTGGGAAGTCTATTACCAAGAAGAGCCTTATAAGGATTTCAAATCTATTTTTGAAATTAAAAACCACGTCGAGAGTGGAAAACGACTCCCTTTAAAAGATAATATGCCTTCTCTTTATAAAACAATGATTGATGAATGTTGGAAACAAAAGCCTGAAGCCAGACCGAATTTCGACAATGTAACTAAGATGATTGTCAGAGTCGATGATGATGTTGTAAATCACACTCATTTGGATTGCGGATTCGAACAAGACAAGATCGAAGGACTTATTGAAAATAGAACTAACAGACTTAAGAAGCAACTCAGTGAAAATAATGCAGACTAACTTTAAAATATTTTTTGTTTAGTTTTGTTTATTTAAAAAAATTGTTTTTTTTTGTTATATAATAATAAAGTAAAAAGCATCTATTTGTGAATTTAATAATTGTGGGTTAAGTCTATTTGTGGGTCAACAGACCAATCAAAATTCATAAATTATTATTTTGCTCAGGAACTTTGAATTTAAGTACTCAAATAAAAATTATAG